CTGATATATATATATATATATATATATATATATATATATACGTTAATTTTCTTGAACACCCATTCCGAACTGTATCAATTTTGTTATACACATATATTTCAGGCAATATAGAATTAAATTAATACCCATTTAGAACTATGCTCATAATTGTTCCATTATATAAAACTAATTAAATAATTGTGTTTCTCAAAATTAATATTTTTTTTTTCAGTGTAGCTTGGCCTACGTTCCACAAGAAGCTTGGATTTTGAATCGCACAGTTAAAGAAAATATTTTGATGATGAAGCATTTAATTGAAGAAAAATACAACAAAGTGTTAGATCTTTGTTGTTTAAGACCTGATATGGAAATTTTGCCAGCCGGTGACAACACCGAAATTGGTGAGAAGGTAAATTTCCTTCCAAATAACTTAAAACTATGTGGTCAAATTGCATAAATTCAAGTTTTTTTTTCATTGTCACTCTAACACGGGTCACCTTGATTTACTTTTTTCCATTATTACATCCGAGGATGGATGACGTAGTTTTACGTTTTTACTTGAATTTTTAGTTCTCTGCGTTAATTTTTCACTTATGCTAATTTTCCTACGTACCATTAGTAATTATACTATCGAAGATGCTAAAATCCGGGAAATTTTCATATGCTTTACTAATTAATTAACAAATTATTTATGACACGGGAGTCGAATTTACGTAGTTCAACAAAATTAATTCGATTAATAATAAACGAAAAGGTAGGTTAATTATTTTTAAAGAATTTAATATTTAATAGTGTAATTATTTAAATGCTAACATTTATTTGGAAAAAGTAAGTAACTTTAATGCCACTTTTTCCGATTCTTATATATTAACTGATAGCAAGATTTACGATTTAAGTTTTGATCACGAAAAATTTAATTTATGACGGTTTTTAAAACTATGTGTCAAAAAATAAATCAGGACACAGTAATCTTAAAAAAAACTAATTTTTTCACAATATCTGCTGCTGGTTTACACTGAATAAATTTTATATACCTTTTTCCTCATACATTTTTTGGCTTTTGTTTTTTTATATATACATTTTGGTCATAGAAATATTAATTCCATCTGACCAGAATACTGAAAACCATAAGTTTTATTGTTTTTTTTTATTCACGATTTCTATTTGGTTTTTTAATCTCTAAACTATGTAGACATTTTGGAAAATATGGTTTCCATTGTTTAGTCGGCATAATGGGAGAAATTGCGATCCCATTTTTCTTGATTTCGACTTCCTCTCATATTTTGTCTCTCAAAAATCCAAAGCAGTCAAAAATAGAAATGATTATTATGAGAGAGTACGCTTTTTACCTGATTTTGTTAGTTCAAATACTGTCTGTGCAGTTTGATCATCGAAAGGGAATTTGTGACGAAACGTTTCTCACGTGGTATGGCGTCCTATTAAACCATGATGATTGCATCTTGGTGCTTGGAAATTGAATTATCATTACCCAAGTTTATTCAGGACTTTGTTATCTTTTTATTTCTGCAGTGCACTTCTTAAATTAGATAGTAACGAATTGAAATATGTTTACTTGTACTACTAATTTCTGGAACTAAATATAAAAATACTTTTTAAATTTTTTTTTGTGATATGTAGGGAGTTAATTTGAGTGGCGGTCAAAAACAGCGTGTCAGTTTGGCGCGTGCTGTATATCAAGACAAAGAAATTTTCCTTCTAGATGACACACTCAGTGCAGTGGATGTTCACGTTCGTAAAGCACTCTTCGATGATATCATTGGAAACGATGGATTACTGAGAAAAAAGGTAAGATAGTAATAATTTATTAGTACTATTTATGAGGAGTCTCCACACGGTTTTTAGTCCGATCAGACCACTGTGAAGGATATACACTTACCGAACGAGTCATTTAATACTGAATATAGTTAAAATAAGAAAGTGGTAGCAAATATATGACTAAAAATTTATTTTATTTATGAATATTATTGGTTTGCCTTATTCACTTGTCAACCACTTCAGATTCTATTCTCAAATATATAAGATAAATCTCTCTCAATTACTTTTATAAAAGGTTTTGGATTCATGCGCACAACTGGTTCACTTTTTAAACAGCCTGAACGGACTCTTTATAAAAGACCGTGTGGAGGCTTCTTAATGTAGGAGGTGATGGTTGAGCTTTCACACGGTATTTTAAAAGTAGTCTGCGCAGACTATTTAAAAAATGAACCAAGTTGAGCGCATGAACCCAAATTCTATTTTAAAAGTAATTGAGTGAAATTTATCATACATATTTGAGAATTGAATCTGTAGTGGTTGACAGGTAAAAATGACAAACCAATCCTATTCATAAATTAAACAAATTTCTCGACATAGATTTGCTCTAACTTTCTTATTTTTACTAGATTATGTATTAAATGGTTCTTTCGTTATATAGTGTGCCTTCATAGTGGTCTGATCGGACTACCTATGAGAAACCGTGTGGAGACTTTCAGTAGTTGGAGGCGTTGGTTGATCCCATAATCATGTTTAAATATCTAAACTTTTGTTAAATTCTCAAGTTTTGATAGAAATTACGACTTTTTAATACTTATTAGTATTACGTAAAGGAAAAGATCAAAAATTGTCAACTCAGGTACTTGTATCTATTCAGTTCTATATTTCATAGCTAGCTCTTACGATTTATAATTTTCGCTTACAGACTAGAATTCTTGTTACCCATGATGTGTCAGTACTGCATAAAGTGGATATGATTGTCAGCATGAAGGATGGCAGAATTGATGAAATCGGCTCTTATCAAGACTTGTTGAGTCAAAATGGATCTTTTATGGAATTTATTCAGGAACACACGAGCCAAAAGAATTTAGAGGAAAACACAGATGAAAATAAAAAGTAACTTTTCATTTGCAGTTCTTATTACGTTATGAGCTGTGCTCTGCTGTGCGCAGCTAGTTTTTTTTTTCAAAATGGTAATTAAATTTGTATTAAAAATTTAATTTTTATTGAAAAAAGAAGAATTAGAACAAGTTATTATTATTTTTACTATGTTTTATATTACTGATCGACGCTCCATTTTTAAAAGAAAATCGGGCCTTGTCTTTCCCTTGCTCTTAGGAATTACTATTTTTATTAACACAAGTTCAACATACGTATGTAAAATTAGACAAATTAAATCATTTTCATAATCATATAAGTAATTTCATACCCATAAAAATTCCTTAAAATTCCCAAAACATAATAGATATATAAATAAATGAGTCACATACAAATCATATAATAAATAAATGATATTGTCTTTATCAAAAATTTCATTGCTGCTCAGGAATATTTTTAGTTATTATATTTTAAAAATTATTAAAATTAAATGTTTATTTATTTTCGTTCTGATTTTTCATTTATTTTCGTTTTTTTTTTTAGATTAGAATTTTCGTTTTTTAGAATTTAGAATTTCAGTTTTTTCTCGATATCCATAGTAACTTTATCAACGATGTAACTTTAATCTGTTGCAATGAAATATTTACATTTGTATCTATATTTACATTTGCATCAATATTTACATTTGATTTTTAGAATGCTCTGCAGATACATATCAACTGATTCTACTTCTTCAAAAACTTCAGATGATTTCTTGAGTAAAGAACAAAAATTAAATGCATCTTTTGACGCAAGAGATGCAGAAAAAACGTATCGATTAATTGAAGATGAGAGAATGGAAGTTGGGAAAGTAAGCATCCGAAAAAAAATTTTGTATTTTATTTTTTAAGATAGGAAAATAGTTTTCAATTTAATATTTGTAATTAAGTATGATTCTTCTGTTGATGGATAATTTCTCTAAAAAAGAAATATAAAGCCGTTGCAAGTAACAAAATATTTTTATAAGATTAAATGCATTTACAAAAAGGAAGGGAAAAATACGATGAAGTAAATAAAAAAAAAGTTATCTAACTTTAACTAAATTATATCAGATTTTTTATCGGGAAATTTTGATTTTAAAGTTTTCTTCTGTTACAGTTTTTTTCCTGCTGTAACCATTCAAATTTGCTTTTTATCAGCCGACTGTGATTTCTGGGAATCATTCCATATTGAAAAAAAGTTGATGATTTACTTAATAATCTTTCTGGAATCCCATCTTTTCTCAATATTTGGATATCATTACTATTTTTTTTTAAATCTTGCGACTGGGAATGTCCACCAAACCACACCTCCAAACTTTTTTCTTCTTTTCTTTTATTATTTTGTTCAAGCTTATTTTACTGTCTCCGTTATTTCATTCACATGGCACGAGTTTGTCTCGTAACTTTTTTACTGTCATTTAATGTTTGAACTCAGATGAAGTGTTATTTAACAGAATTTATCCTATTTATGGATCAGAAACTATAATGTGCTTATTCCTATACTTCCATCAGTGCCTTATTCACACTGTTTTGCTTTATTTTGCGTATCACAATGTAAACACTACCATATTTTGAATGAAACGTCTACATGTGATTTCAGAGATCTTGCAATACATTTTATCAAATATATTTCAGTTTTATTCGATTTTTCTAAATATATATTTCCCGTTAATGCAATCAAAAATGATTTAGAACAGTGTTTCCCAACGTGGGGCCCACGCCCCACTGGGGGGCAATTTGATTGTTAAGGGGGGCAATTCAAAAATGCACTCGACACGAGTTGAACCCTTTTGCTCCGGGCCGCATATAAACTCTCTTTACACACATAGTATCCCCAAGAGATTTTGAGCTCGCTGATTGGCTTTCTCGGCAACGCCATCTGTGACGTTATGACTGTTTCATTTTGCCATGCTTGTTATTTTCAGCATAGATTGATTTCTATGCTCCAGCTTTTGTGTACAAACTTGAAATGTCAGTTTTTTCAACAGAGAAACTGCCTTCTTCATTTANAATTCTTTCGACGAGACCAGAATATCAACTGGGTTTTTGGCGTCGTCAAGTTATCCTCCCTGCGGCAGACTCCGCGTGGACTTTCAAACTTCAAAGAAAAATTTTGAAAAGAGGACAACAGTAAAGTCTCTATTTACTGCTCACACTTCAACTCATAATCGTGTTCTTGAGGCTAGTTATCAAATTTTTTTATTCATCGCTAAATCTGGAAAAAATCATACTACAGGAGAGAATTCATTAAAACCGTCAATATCAGCATCTCTTAAAACTGTTCTTGAAAAAGATGACAAAGATGTAAAAGCTATGCCACTCAGTAACAAGACTGTTACCAGAAGAATAAACTAAATGAGTGAAGATATTGAAAAACAACATGTTGAAAAGATGAAAACAAGAAAATTCTCAGTGCAAATGGATGAATCAACTTTGATAGACAGTGTGGCAGTGATTTAAGTTTCTTAAGTGAAAAACTAAATTTTTTAATATTAAAAATTATGTATATGTTACATAGGGGGGCATAATAATTTTAGAATGGCTTAGGTGGGGCATGGCACAAAAAAGGTTGGGAAACACTGATTTAGAAGATTTGTATTAATTACTCATAAAATTATTAATCTAAAATTAAAGTTATATTGCAACAAGTTTGCGATAGCTTTGATAAAATTTTGACTCGCACTAGCAACCAAATCCTTTTTTTTTTTGTAATATTAATTCAAATGGTTCCCAAATAGAGTATCCTATGTTTTTAAATATCATAGATTATTAAAGTTGCCAATTCAGCGTTATCTTCTGTCAGAAAATGAACTGAAAAGATTACCATTTCCAAACATTCTACTTACTTATTTAGCACCGGTGATTTTCTTTCCATATTATGACATGACATATTTCAATAGTAACGCTTTTTGCCTAGTTTTCTGTTAAAGAGATCTCCGATCCTTTTTCAGTATATTATGCAATCAAAAATACTCGGATCATAATGGTGTGTTGGTAAAACATTATAGAATAAGTAGTTATTTTCTATTACAGGTACATCGCCATGTGTATTGGACTTACATGAAGAACATGAGTTGCCCTTTATGGGTTATAACTGTATTTGGATTTGTATGCTACGTTATAATGGAGGTAAGTTGTTTATTAAAAAAAGTAACATGCATTTTAGAAACTAAGTTTAATTTAAAACTTATAAAATACAATTCATTCAAGCTATTTCGCAGAAGGTACTTTATGTATTAATATTTTCAAATGAATATAATTTTTAGTCAAGTTTATTTTTTTAACATTATTTACATAAATATAGCAAGCGATACTAACATTCACTACTAAAATTTCTATGGCGGAAGTTAGAAAATGTGTCATAAATACTTTTGTTATGATTAACTATGTTTTTAAATAAATATTTTTCGGTGAAAATTAATTTTTATAGGACTTCACTCAGACGCAGAAGACTCATAAGACACATAATATTAATGTAACTTGCCCTAAGACTGAAATTCAAAAATGCACGGGCATTTAATGAAAATTTCCTGAAAATGTTAAAGAGCCTGACTTAATGAACTTATATGCCTTAGAATTTTTTTTTCTTTAATTGATTTTTTTAAGTAGTTTTTGAGACCCAAATCGACGATCATTTTTAAGAGTGTTCATCAAAGTCAACCTAACTTGCCAACACTAACACGTGGCAACTTTAAGCGTACAAAAACTGTATAAAAAGTGACTGTATAAGTCCTCTTTTAGAAAATACGTAAGCAAGCAAAAGAATTTAAAAACTAATTAATATAATTTGTGTATTTTTTAGTTTTAGAATTTAATAGATAATTCTAATTTTTGCTTTGTATAGATAGTTTTTTCTCCATAGAGCCTTTAAATTTCGATTATGATGTCAGGTTTTTCGAAATAAATGTATTAAGATTTAGTAACATTTAATAAAGTCATATTATTTAATATTTTGTCCAAAATTGCAAAACCCAAAATAATATTCTTTTCGCAGTGAATCTTTTTAAGACATGATGTCGAACTGATAATTCCAGTGCATTGCAAATGCCTCTGCTGTTCTACAGTACTTCAGGCTAATTGGGAAAATTCTCAGTAATTTCTAATATGCCTGATATTTATTAAACTAATTACAATAATCTTATATGACTATAAATAAATTAGAAACGTGCGAAAAATAACACAATCGGACTGAATTTGCATTGGCTTATTGAAATGAGCTTTTGGTAAACCTATTTACATTAAGTCTTTACTATATTCTTGACTTATTACAAACAGCCTGAAATAAATCAGGTTATTTAAGATGTACTTTCAAATTTGCATAAGGTATTCGGGCTCACTGCAATTAGCCAGAAAAGTTTCAGGCTGATTAGAAAATACTGGAACCCTTCTATAATTAGCTTGTCACAGGGCAAAATAACTGAGGCTATTTGCAAACCGCAAAATTGTTCACCAAGAAAGAATAGGTAGTACCGAAGAGTTATAAAAAACATTATTTAAAATGACTTTTTTCTAAATGATTGGTTTTTCTTTTTAGACCTATGCCAATATTTGGTTAGGAAAATGGACCACAGATCCTAAAGTGAACGGAACACATAGCATTTCATCCACAACGTATCGATTGGAAATTTATAGTGCGTTAGGCTTAGGACAAGGTAATGAGATACTTTTTAATATTAACGATAGATAACTAAATTTAAATCAGTGTTAACTCGTCATTGGATTAATAGAACTAAAAACAAGCCTATTTTTATATTCCTTTCAATTACTTCAGGCAAATTAGCGTAACTTGGAAAAAGTATTACAATATTTCAATTGAAAAATGAAATTGTGATAAAAATTATTGTTTGCAGTCTCGTTAAAAATGTGCTCTTCCATAAATAGCTTTGTTGCATTAATTTCGTCGTTTCTTAGAAAGAAAGAAAATCAAAGTTCTCCGTTTGCTCGCTGCACGTGGGCTTCGGTAGTCTTTTCGGTTTTCGAAATATTTTCGCTGTTTATTTTGATAGAACTAAATATTCGACTGTAAGACGATGATTACGGTCAATCATAAAAAGTATCAATATTATAACTATGCTTCTCGCCTTCAGAAAACCCATTTTATTAGTTATGAAGGTACTGTTTTTCAGGTGGCGTGAGCGCAACGGACGCATTTCTGATGCGCGAAACTGGCAGCTTTCAGAAGACTTGGAAATTTCGGCGACATCTTAAAAGTTTCCCTACGAGAGAGTTTTACTTTACTTTATTTATAAAAAATTGGGCACCTGAGCCGCGCAGCGTCCCCTATCCCTTACATCTAGAAATTTACATAAGTTTAAAGTGATAACATTTTGAATTTAGCAGTCGATGTGGTTGCTAATACAAAACTACAAGCACTTTGCTTGGGTAAATAAACATTTAAATATCGAAATTAAATTTGCACATATAAATAAAAGCATATAAATATAAACATAATTTGAAATATATATACATAGGTTGACATAGATAAATATAGTAGATATAACATTTGAATATCGAATCTAAATTGACACATATTGTCATATATAAATATAAACATAATTTGAAATATATATACATAGGTTGACATAAATAAATATAGTAAATATAACATTTGAAAATCGAATCTAAATTGACATATGTAAATATAAGAGAAATATTGTTCATTAAATACAATAGAATTTGCAAAAGAATTTAACTTGCATAAGTTGATAAATATATATGCATAAATTGGCTATATTATCAGAAAATAAAATTTGATGTAATTTAATTTAACATAAGTAAGAGTCTATTGTGAAAAGCTCAGTGAATTTAACTTGAGAGTCTTGAAAATAAAAATAGAACTCACTGGGATTGAGATGTTTCCTCGATGATCTCTCTCAGAAGACGGAGCACTTCTTCATTTTTGAGCAATTCCTTTAATTCTTTGATTAATGACACTAATCGGTGAGCAAGTTTAGGTGTCGAATTTGATGTTGCTCGAGGGCTCCTTCTGCTGGGGCTGGTCTCGCCAGTATAGTTGGCTGTGTGGTTTTTGTAACAATTACAACATTTTGGAGGAGTTATTCTGTCTTTGTTGCATTCATGAGACCTTTGGTTTTCAGCGCATTTTACACACCTTGCAGGTGCATTGCAGTGGCTTTGCGTGTGTCCATAATTTTCCTCCTCGAAATCGTTCGATTTTGATCGGGATCTGCTGTATGTTGTTGACTTTGACTACTCTATGATGATTCACCGTTGATGCTAGGATTATGAGAAAAAGTGGAAGGAGTCGATAGGCCTCTCCCATTCTCTTCTTAAACTGCACTATTTTAAAGGCTTCAATATTGTTTTTCTGTAATTCTGCATTGATGACATCTTTATCAAAGTCCATAGGCAGGTCCCGGACCAAAACCTTAATAAATCTGGCTTGCGGTGTTATTTCAGGTTTGCTGGGCGGATCCCGTACTTTGTCGGTAACCTCCTTAGGTTTTGTTGTCGGCAAGGTAGTGACGTCATCTGTTGATTTATGTTGGCTAGAAGAAGGACAGCTGTTTGTAGACATGAGTGTAGAATTATCTTCAATTGTTTTGACTGCATTTTGCCTCTTCTTCCTTTTTCTTTTCTTTGCTGGTGGTTCTGTATTATTGTTAATATTGATGTCCGTGCCAGTTTCTATGTTCGATGTTTTATTCAAGTTTTCATCTTTATTTTCCATGGTTAAGTCTGCAGTGCTTGGATTAGTTTCAGTCATTATTGATTCGACTTTAATGGAGTTTTCATTCATCACCTTGTTTTCTTCTGCTTGAAATTTTTTCCACTTCCATCTGACGTGATAAGCTGCATTTGTCAGTTTTAGGAAGTATGAGTATTCATTGTCTCCAGGGTAACTTGATCTTATCTGAATGAGCAGTTTGCTAAGTAATTTATCTAAACGAATCAGCTCCTCTGTATCAAACTGAGCGTAAAACCTACGAGAGAACAATAGAGTGACGTATCATATGAACTTTCGAATCATTTACATATAGTGGTGTAGAGAGTGACTTTAAAAAGAAAAACATAAAAAACATAAACTTAGCTACCACTCTTAGAGAGCTTTGGTTGCTCAAGATATAGAGCATTCGCCTTCTAATGAGGTGAACTGGGTTCGAATCCCAGCGACGGCTGATCGATACGAATTCCACACCCGTCTCACACCAACAAGAGTGTTGACGTAAATCCTCAGTGGTAGTGGTAAAATATCCTCAGAGGTTGTCGGTAAAATATCCTGAGAGGTTAGAGTGCCGTAAGGCTAACCGGGGCAGGTTCTTGTGATTTTCCTTTCCATGCAACGCGAATGAGGGTTAGTTTCATCCAAAAGTCCTCCATGGAAGCAAATTTCTCCCTATACTTGAAACAGGAGTTCCATTGTCTTCCGAATTGGGTTCAAAATTACAAGGCTAAGGAGTTGAACATAAGTAGTCGTGAACCCAAAATTGAAATGGCTGCTCATCGACGGTTATAACTGCCACTATAAGAAATGTTTTTTTAAAAAGCTTAGGAAGTTGGCTGCCCTGTCTATGTAATGGTGATAAAAATCATTGTAAATCAACTTTGTGAAGCAAAGAAATATCTATTAACGTGAGCATTTTGTTGCCAGTTTTAACATAAACAAATCTCTCACAAAAATCAAGAGGCTTTGTGTCTTTAAATAAACATTAAAAATATTTGTATGTGGTAAACAACTGTGATTTGAATAGTTAAAGGGCAATGCAATGATAAGTCACATTTTCCAATAGTACGAGAGAGCATGTTCTTATGATCGTTTTTGGCGCAAAACACGACAATTTCCATGCACGCAAAGCTTTGCTAGTGTCTATTTTGTCTTCTATTAGTGATTTTTCAACGCTTTTTAACTATCTACGTCGAAACAATACTAAGCACCAGCTTGATGAAGAAATATCGCTTCTTGGAAAACGCCTCCATCACTATATTCATCACATTTCTTCATTTAAAATAGCGTTAATAATTAATATTTAACAACTTTTTTTTAAATTTTTTTTTATTTATTTTTTATAATTATTCATTTATTTTTTATTTTTTTTTTACCAGTATAAGCTTATTCTTTTATGACTTTAACAGATTAGTATAAGATGAATCGGTTGGTGGCGCGTGAGGTACCCTACATATCCAGCATATTTAACAACTTCATAATCTCATTCTTAATTTTTTTTCATACACTCCAGAATAATACGCAATAAAAAAAATTAAGTACCACTCTTTTTATTTTTGTTTTAGCAATTTTCGTCATCATAGGAAGCTTCTCTTTAGCACATGGAGTGATTACAGCTGCAGCTCGATTGCATAACAAAATGTTGAATAGCCTTATAAAATCTCCGATGTCTTTCTTCGATAGTACACCAATGGGTAGAATTACAAACAGGTTTGCCTTATTTTTTTATTACATAACTTATTTATGCACAAAAAATATGTTATCCTTTGCCTGTCTTTTAACCGAAGACATTTCTATCAGGGGTGGTTTTGCATTCAAATTTTTCATTATCAATTATCAATATTAAACTAATTGTTAAGTGCAATTGGAAAAATAGTGTTCTGTTTAATCAAATTATTTTGTTAACCCAATCGAATATAATCTATTATATATAATTCTGTTACATGGCTCCCAAATTTTAGCTGTATTTCTTTTCCGCCGGTGGCAACGTTTGCTTTGTTTTGTTTACGTTTTGAAAACACCAAAGCATTCAGCCTTTTAATGATGTGCTTCTGATCTAATATATATAATTCTCTTACGTGGCTCCCAAATTTTGGCTGAAGTACTTAGTACAACTAAATAAGATCCTTTTCACAACACTTAAATATTTACTTTATTTTCTTTATATATAGAGAAAACAGTCGGCAAAGAATTCTGTTAGGTTAAAAAACATTTCTCCAAAAAAAAAACGAATTCTAAAAGAAATAAAAATAAACAACTTAAAAAATAAAAATGCTGTTGCCAGCCATAGAATTTTTTGTAAGTTAACTTGGCAACATAAATCAAAATGACATAGAAGCGCAACTAGATCAAAATTGAGATACCTGAGCGCTTGACGTAACAAATCCTTCAATTCTATAAGTGTTGTATCGCCAAATGCCCAAATTAACAATTGTGTTTTTAAAAAAATTCTCTCTCTCTCTCTCTCTCGACTATCCAGAGTACTATTTCATATTGTTTTACAACACATGGCTTTAACACTCTGGTGGGAAAGACTTTCAAACAAAACTTACAACTGTTACTTTTCTCAGCAACTGAAATTTAGAATAGTATGATTAAGAAAAATATGTGAACTGTTTGCAATTTCAAATTAATATTGAAATTTACAGGCTTAGAATTTTCTACAGTGAAAAGTTTTCGGAACTTCAGTATTCAAAAAAGTATACAAAAACTAGACGTTAAGAACGAATCCAATGAGCGAGCAAAGCGAGCATTGGATTGCAAATCATTCCGAAATGAACTGCGAAAGCAGTTCCGGGGGTTCGCGAGCGCCAGCGAGCAGGGGGCGAAGCCTCCAAAGATCATATAATTTTAATGTCACTTTATAAACTAAGAAAAATATTTTTTTTATAACAATTTAGGAACAAAATCATAATTAAGGTACTTTTAACTCAAAGAAAAATAAATAAATAGTGGAAAGAAAAAAGTGGTTACCAATAAATCTAGTACCATAGAATTTCTGTGATGAAGTCTATACTTAGTTTTATTTACTTCAATATTACGTTTAAAAAATTTGGATATCTAATTGATCTACACACAAAAATTATTTAAACGACCAAATTTGCTTCTTCAATCTTTTTAAAGTTAAATTGTCAGAGACCAGATGTCAAAGGAGTAGTCAGAAATCAAGGTGACTTCTTGGTCACTAATTTATAGTACAGTGGACTTAAACGTCTAGATCTATTTTTTGAAGAAGTTGTAGTAGTTGGTCGCAGTTATAATTCAAGTTATTTTTCTTTTAACCACTTGGAGACGAGTGAGTCATATTTACATTATAAGGGCGGTGATAATCAGGGTAAAAAAGATAAAACTATTAGCCAAACTATGTTAATATCAGTTTATTTGTGGTCGGGGTAATAATAGTTTGCTTTATTTATTTCACCACTACTTAGTTTAGATAAATACTTTGCTAACAGATAAGTTATATAATTACTCTTTATCCAACCTTGATAAGGGACTGTTCAAAAAGTACGTACACAATAATTGAGAAATTTTAGCCCCTCCCCCCCTTTCGTACATTACCGTACATAAAGTCATACTCCCCCCCCCCTTAGAGTACGTACATTTTATTTGTCTACCCCCCTTTTTCATAAAAATTAAAATAATTATGTTTTATATAAAATTAAATATTTATTTAAGGAGTGTGTAGGAAAAAGTCAAATTTAAATTTGGTGTATGATTATAATGTACGTACTTTGTATAATATCTCCCCCCTCCCCATCGTACAAACTAGAAAATCCCCTCCCCCCCCTTCGGGATGTACGTACTTTTTGAACGGCCCCTAAGACGTCAACTCATATTCTCACATTAGGATCTTAGCGCCCTACTGCATATAGCTACACAATCAGAACTCAATGATTATCTATCTATATGAATACTCCCTTACTTCAAGTTAAAGATGATTGGGAAAAGGGTCTGGGGTGCCCAAATATTTAATATAGTACCAGAGATGCCAACTGCTCCGGACAGGCCAAAATAATTAAGAAAACGGTAAATACCTACAAACTAAATTTTGCAAATATTTGACTGTTTTTGCTTGCTTTTTCAAAGGTATAGCATTAAATAACTATTACAAAGTAGTGAAGTATATAAGCCTACAAAATATTTAGAAATAGTGGTGGATAAAAGTCTACTAAATTGAATTTATTAAACCAAAAATCACAATTGATAAACTACCACTTGAAAATATTTATTTGCTGTCTGGAGCAAGTTGGCATGTCTGTAGTACATGGATTGGATTTATTAGATTTAAATTAAAAGCAAAAATAAAATATCTACCAGTTTTTAACTGTTTTAAACATTTTTATATTTATTTTAAAAATTAATTGTTGACTATTTCTAATAAAAGTTTTCTAACTATTAAAGCCTTCTGCGCAACTTATTCATATGTTGAGCGGAAGCTATGATTATCAAAAGTTGAGAATAGCAAAATTTCAATTGTTTGATTACTTTGAATAGTCTAATAGTTAAAACTCTCCTCAATCGAATCAGTATGTTCAAAATTGACCGGAAATTTTTAAAATTATAACTTAAAATTAGCTTAACCCTTTCGCACCGACTGTCACAAATACGTGCCAACATGAAACCGTATCGATCAGAGTAAAAATATAAAACTGGTAACCGAAGTAGTTCTTAATCAGTTTATTTGTGGGTAATGATAGTTTGCTTTATTTAATTCACCACTATTTAGTTCGAATTAAAAATTGTGCAGTTACACTTTTATCACATATGGATTGGATGTGTTAGATGTGAAGTAAAAGCAAAAATAAATCTGTCAAATTAGCTATGCCCAAATTTAAGCTACCGCTTTTTATTTTTTACCATCCTGATTTTGTACGAATAAATTTATGACGAGCCCGTCCTGAAATGGTTAAAATTTAACTGAACTAAAGCAAAAGGTCAGTAATCAAGTGTTTTTTTTAATTTAAGAAAATGTTAAACATGAGAGAGAGTCGTAAAGCTGCTGGAATGGAAAATCGCTTCCTGGTTAGGAAGTTTTCACTCTGTATTGTCTGCTAAATTAAAATAACTCAGCCTTCTTCATTCTTGGAAACTCTCAAGTCAAGTATAAAAACAGACTTGTTATTGTTTGGGCGGAATGATAACCAGTTTATTAACTATAAATAGTTCCGCTTACTATTATAAAAATATCGAAAGGGTTAAAGTTTTCAATCGTTGATGCAAGCAGTACATATCGGGAAAAAAATCATTAAAGTTATTAAGTCATTACATTTTACTAATTCATTAAAATTTCCTTGCAAATTATATTGCATTATATATATATTTATCTAATATTTCTTGAATAAATTAAAAGGCAGATGGAATTAATTATCATTCACGCGAGAAAATTATCTGCTTTCTTCGTATCAAAATTCAACTAACTACATTTTACGAGACGATGAAGTTAACTAAACTTTTTTAACTATTAACTAAAGTTTCAACAATGAAAATCGAACAAATTAATTACCGGTTTCGTTATTATTTTTTCACAATGTATTAACCAAAAGATTTTTTTTCTGAATTTTAAAAATTTCAGCTTTCTGATTTAACTAAGTTCCGGGCATTAAAGCAAACTATTACTATAGTATTACAACCATTGAACGCATTATTAGTATTATGACTATAAGTACATACAAACTCTTATAATATTATTTATTGTAACGTTCAGTTAGAATTATTTGATCAGTTGAATTATTGAGAGTTTACAAATTACTCAATATTTTCCCCACAGGTTCAGTTCTGATTTGGATATTATAGATACTGAGCTCTATGGTCAAATTGATGGTTGGTTAAATTGCATCCTTTATGTTATTGCATCCTTCTACATGATTGGAAGAAATGCTCCCATTTTTCTAGCTTCTCTTCTTCCTCTTGGCGTCCTTTACTATATTTTTCTCGTAAGTAACTTTCTAAAAACCTAAAGTTATTTAATTTCAATTCCACTGAATGACTTTAAAATGAAAATATAAACTTTTCAGAAACTGCATCTGAACACTTATCGGCAAATCAGAAGATTGGAATCTACAACAAAATCACCCATCTACAGTCAGTTGTTGGAATCTATCCAAGGAGTGTCTTCAATTGGGGCATACAAGGTGCAAGAAGAATTCATTGAAAGTTTTGAAAATAAACTCAACAACCATATGGTTTGCTTTTCATCTACCATAGGAAGCAATAGGTAATTGTCTACTTCTCAATCAATTAAGGAAAAGTTTCTGAATTATGATTATTTTAATGATTTAAATGCGTGTATAGCAAAACCATCGCGTCAGAAGTAAATTACGAAGCTGTGACGGAATAATATATAGAAAATATTTA